CAGGTCTCAATGGTGCTCCATCATCTAGATACCTCTGTTGAGGGGGCGACATCTGGGACTGGTGTCGGGTCATGTAGACATTTGTGATCTTCTGGGGAGGTTTAGCAGGCATCACCTGCAAGTCTTTGCATCTGAGGTGTCGTGAGCTTCAGAAGGAGCATCCAGCTGAAGTGTGCGGAGGATCTGAGCTATACCACTGCTTTTGTACGGAGGGCCACGTTAGATTACTTCCTGTTGTTGAAAGAGTTCCTGTACATCACAAAAATGATCCTTCTTGACCAGTGCCCTGCAGATTCGCAGAATGTAATTAGATATCTCTGACTGCTGAGTTCATGCAGATGAGCGGGTGATGCTCAGGAGTGCTGCAGGAGGGGGCCCAGGGCAGTCTGTGGGTCATTACACCCTATAGGGATTTTCTCACGTTACGATGATCAGACCTCACAGATGAACGTGTCAGGCTGATGCTGTGTTGGGGGAAGTGTTTTTGGGTAATTTGCAGGCCATTGGTGGGATAATCGTAGTCCAAAGTGTTCTACAACCAGTGTTGAAGCAATTGAGGACCCAGGATCCAGTATTGGGGACCTGACCCCAGGATGGGCGTGGGAAATGTTGTAGTTGGAGACGATTAAGAAAATCTAATGTTCAGTTCAAGAAAACTACCATAACCAGTGAATTGAGACAGGAGCTCTGTTTTCCGACTTTCTCATATTTTCCAAAACACTGTCACGATAGAAGCTATGGGGAAGGTGTAGAGGATGGATGGGAACAAACCATCGTTTGGCTTCATCTGTTGTGCTAAGGAATGCAAGACCACAAAAGATTTTCTGTGTCCATGTGATTAAGGCATGGTCAATTTGTTATGGTTCTCAACCAGTTTTGTAAAATGCTCAGACCCTAGTCCTATATGGTAAATCATTTGCAAAGTTTGTATAGTTTCTTAACTGATAACTACTAAGGGGTGGAGAGGGGAATGGGCAAGCTGGTTTGGGGTTTTGTTACAGTGAGACGGTCATTCAAGCAGCAATTTTATATTGGGAAAATAATATTTAAAAAGAAAACAGGGTATTTTCATACTGTTGACCTTGTTTCCATTTGTTTATGTATCTTCATTTTAGATTTTGTATCCCTCTCTAGTATTGTAGTAGGAAAAAACAAACCTGAAGGATTTCCTGACTTAAGAATAAGGACCATGTGTTCTGCCAGGAGTGATGCGTTCCCAAGTACGGCACTCTGGCATTCACAAACCACATCAGATGTATTTGTCTTTATGAAGACATATTTGCCTTCAAAGACTTGAGTGCTCGCCTTCCCTGTATGGTCGTCAGCGCACTCTTAGCTGTTTTCATCAACTATGAAATAGCCGGTGTTGGTGTTTCAGTTGTTCTCGTGTTTTAGCTATGAGTGGAGGCCAATTGCACTTGCAAATATTTCAGATTGCTGGCCCATGTATGCAGACGTCACTTCCTAGTACTTGATTTGCATTTGATTATTATTTTCTATGCTGCATATTTGAATGTGCTTTTAAAAAGTGGTTGGAAGTGCCTAACTTCCCTATACCCCAAAGGTGTATTCTGAATGAATTATATAAAATTGCATGGTAGAGCCTTTGCCCTTTCATGACTCAGTTATACTTGCAGCTTTAGAAGATTTGGATCACTTATTTACATGCATTTATGATCTCTTTGAATCTTTAATGATGTTGGTCAACAGTCCTCTGGTCATTTAAAGTTGTCACGTTAAATTGATGTGTCTTCATCACATGCTGAAGACCTGACGGACACCATCTTTCCACCCAGCTAGTTTGGGGAGATCCTGTTTGCTGGAGATCGTTCTCCCATCCTCTGCAAAGCACAGGGCATGGCTTGCTTCTCTGGCTACCTGAGACTTAAAAGGTTCTGCAGTGACCTCATCACTGGTGACACTCTTGCTCTCTCCAGCTTTTTACTTCTAGCACCTTACTTTTTGAAATTTTTGGGCCTTTGCTTTTGGTTTTAAACTGGATATAGGCAGTCAGAAAGCAAAATGCAACACCCCTTGAGTATAGCAAAGTTTATCTGGAATTTATTAAAGTAACTTCATCAATAAATGGTGGCCATGGGGTTCGCAGGTTGTGCATGATGGGGTGCCCTACACTCATATTCCTCCCTAAAAACAAACGTGTAAACGTTCAGTGAACATCACTTGTGCACTTGTGAGAAATTGGATTGCTCTTAAGTTAGTGCTATTCTTCAGTGAAGTCTGGGGTTAAAAAAGCAGAACACGTTTTAAAGAAATAAGCTTTCAATGTATTATTTTCATTGAAAATGTTCAATTGCTACTTTTGAAATCTTAATATGTATTTTTCAGATGTCCTGAATTTGTTTCTTTGTCCTGTGAGGAACTTGAGAGAAATGAATACAGACAAATTATTTCATAAAACATGCGGAATGGCTGTGGATTGACAGTTAAATCTGTAATAGTGAATACATTCAATTTTCCCCTTTGTTCTGTCAGCAGTCACTTGTACTCTAAATGTCTATTTAATTTTTTAAGTAGATTAACGGGAAATGTTTGCGTTATTTGATTATTGAATTGACTTTTCCAAATAATGGCTCTTTTCCTCAAATATTTATGTGATCTTGAAAATGTTTTTCCATAAGGGAAAAATGCTAAAAATGAATGGGGAACATATTTTGAGTTATTTGTAGTATATGCGCATAATGCCTCATCTGAAGTCGCTGTACACTTGCCTTTCGTTGGGGGAAAAAAAGGCAGTTTGTCATCTGTACTGCCTTCCAAAATTAGATTCAGATAATCCTACCTTTTTGAGTAAATAAGCAGCAGATTGGTCTTAAAAATGAAATTCAAGTAAGCTCTTGATATGTGATATAAAAAATAAATAAGCTAATATGTGAGCAACATAGAGCATTTCAGTGATAGATGATAATATAGATTACCTTTGTTGTTTACATAATTAGGCTGGGCAGGCAAAGGAGAGGGAGAAAGAGGCATTAGTAAATGCTTTTGTTTAGTCCTGTGTGGTTGGGTTGGTTTTTTTCATTTTGGATTTTTTTCTGCGCTTCGTGTGTGCATGTGGTTTGCAGTGCACGGATGAGGAATTGTATAGGAAATTTGCAGCTGCTCTAGTTATTCAGTAAGATTTGTATAAGCTGGCACAAGGGACAAAATTAGAGGGAACTTGAGCGAGTGCCGTGCAGTTTATTAGCTAGGCAGCCGTAATTTTGACCTTGCTGTGGGTTAAAGGACATAGACCTGAGAAGAAATCTGTTTATCATGTAGGGAATTCATGCCATCCCTGACAGTGTACAGTGAACAAGATGGATGATCTGCCAAATTGGTCCCTCGCATGGGTGAATCAGGGCAAATTTACAGTACAATTCCTTTGCTGCTCCTGATACAAAAATAACATTTGCTGGGTTTTATATTCAGTTGTATGATGACCTAGAGTGAACAGAGAGAAGAAAGAAGATTTGTAGGATCCCTATTGCCTTAAAGATTTATATGCACCTCGCTTGCCTTTTATGTCTGCTTCTTTTGCATCTTTCATAAAACACTAAGGAAAAAGTCCAATTGCTTGGTTTGAGAGAGCAACTTTTTATGTAAGTGTGTCAGGGAACCTCTCGGAATTGCAGCATCATGAAAGCTTCTGTTACCTTGAACAACACAATTCTGCCGTGCACCCTGCTTCATTTGACCCCTGCTTTTGCTTATGGGGTATTTGCCTTTATTTAGGATACGTTTCCGTGCTACTCAAGCTGCGTGTTCTGTAATGATTGGACAGTATTCTGGAGAACAAACTTGAAAAATAGTGAAAATTGCTGTTAGCCATCGCCATGGTAGTGACAGGACTCGATGCTGCAGAGTGCCCTGCTCTCATAGTAGTGCTGCAGCGCCCAGGAAAAAACAGTTCTGTTAGAGGGACTAAGTTTTTGATGTAGACCGGCCTCCTCCTTGTACAATTGAGAGTGTTGTAAGCTTCCTCCAGAGATTGCGAGACGAATCCGCTGTGTATGAATCTGAGATACATGCGATTAACCGCATCAAGTAATGAGATGTGAGACAGCAAGGAGGAGGAAGCAGGCCCGCAAAAATGAGAAAGAACCGTGAATGGAGAAATCGAACGTGCTCTTTATCTTTTGAAGGGAATTGTTGTTCTAAACCACGTTGTCTACGTGTTGTTGCTTGAAAAAGTGTTTAGACTCTGTCCTTAGATGTCTGGATTTTCTTCAGTTGGTACATTCCATTAGAGATAAATATTAATTTATCAGGGGAAAACAACATTTTGTACAGAATCTATTGTTGCTGGCAAATTAACGGATTCAGAAAGCTTTCTTTTAAACAAAGTGTCACGATAACAGACTTGGATGTCTCCTGATCCACTAGCTATCTTTATGTTGGATTCTCAAACGCATTAATTAATACAACATAATTATAAACTGTATTTTAATCTTGTTAAAAGTTATTTCTGGGCAAAGAGAAGTGCAAAAATGTGATGCGAGTGATAAGAAACAAAATGAAATCAGTAACACTCTCAAGATATAAAGTTGTATCAGTTGTAGAAAATCCCTCATTGACGCTACAAAATAGGGGCTGAGATAGTTCCTCGCAAGTCGCAGAAGAAGGCTTAAACCAGTCTGGAGAGGTAGATTTAAAAGCATCCCTATACAAAACTGCGGTGGAAAGCAAAACTATGAGATTTCCTGACCAAGGAAATTTCTTGCAACCTTACCAACAATTGCACTTCATTTTTTCTTGATTTTTATTTGTATTTGTACATCTTGTCTTTATAAGAAAGTAGAGATGAGTCAAGATAAAATTAGAAAATTATTCTGTTTTTAAAAAGAGGCTTTTTAGTACCCAAGTCATAACAAGTAGCATTTTGCATACTTAGGCATTTCTTTAAGTAGGTAGAATATAAATGAGAAGGAAAGTTAAATATCCTGCAATCAAAACATTACAATTATGCTAAAGTGGGGACTTTTTCCTTTTTTTAATTACAGAAAGCACTCCAAAGACTTCTGCCAGTTGCAGTCCTGCTCCTGAATCTCCCATGAGCTCCAGTGAGTCAGTGAAAAGCCTGACTGAATTGGTACAGCAACCCTGTCCCACTATAGAGACAAGTAAGGATGGCAAATCCCAAGAATCTAGTGAGCCGCCTGCTTCTGAATCCCAATCTACAACACCTTTGCCGCTGTCGGGCCACTCGGCACTCAGCATTCAAGAACTGGTTGCTATGTCCCCTGAGCTGGATACATATGGCATAACGAAGAGGGTCAAAGAAGTGCTAACGGACAACAATCTTGGTAAATTGCTTTATTCTCAGTTCTTGACCAAATTAAAAGTGTTCATGCTTTTATTTTTAAGCTATATTTCAGTAGACGTTTACAAGAATACTTGGGTTTGACTCTGGCTTAAGCTTTAATCTGTTGAAAAGATTATTTTTGGTTTTTTTAAACTGGTAGAAAAATCTTTTCAGATTGTCACACTCTACTTAAAATGTCATCATACCCTTGCTCTTCTTAAGCTCTGCTCCTGGCTCACCAGCCAGATACTGCTCCCACCTCCCTAAATACAGTCCAGCAGGCTGTCAAGAAGACCAGAACCCCAAAGGCAGAGATCTCCCCCCTTGAGAAATGCTATTTTCCCCATGCTTTTAGATTTAAGGCCCCGGTATTTTAGGCATAGGTGACGTAGAGGAGTCCACCGTGGTTAGAGCGGGAGGTGCATCGCAAGCAAAAGCATAGCCTATCTGTAGAGCTAGGAGGGTAAATTCAGACTCAGTTGAGGTTTAGATGAACCTGTAGATAAGTGTATGGGGCCATTCAGTTATTTTGCTTAGAGATGTGCAAAACTAAGGCTGCCTGTGCTTACAGATGAGTTTTTGGGTGCCAAATTAAGTGTAATTTTCATATGGCTCTGTATTTGGTAGTCAAAGGGAAACCCACACTTAATACTGCCACTGTGCCTCTAAATCACTAGTTCTTCATATGCGTTTAACACTTGCTTCCCTCACAAGGCGTTGGGAAACCATTAGGAGTCCTTTGAAGTCTAGCAGGAAGGCAGTGAGGCTGCCCCAGTGTTACCTGCGCATGCTGCTGGGGCTTCATGGGATTCATCTCACTGTGTTCAGGTGTTCAGAATAGATGTCTAAGGTGGTTGGGAGGAATTAACTCTCCAGAAGTACCAGTTTCTCTCCATTCACTACAGATGGGACCAAAAAGATAAGTTTAGATTTAGACTGCTGATGGTATTTAGGTGAGAAGAATTCCATCCTCTGAACACTATGACTGTATAAGTAAAAACTCCTTTATTTTAGTGTGTAAGGAAGCCTTTTTTCGGTTAGACACAGAATAGCAGGGGTTATTATCTTAGAGATTTTTTTTTTAAAGGGGAAAAGTGCTGGGATGGGGGAGGTTGTAAGGTCTCATTTAACATAATCTGGGGAAAAAAGAAAACAGCCCTGATCGTGGACATACCCTGCATGAGAGTGTGTTCCACTGAACCCAGCAGAATTACTTGCTCATGCACATCGGCGTGGGCAGATTGTGGTTGCTCGTTCAGTGGACATAACGTAGAGATAAAGCCACAGTCACGGTAAGGGTTTGCAGGTTCAAGCCCCTAGTTTTTGGGCAAAATGCTGTTGAGTGCTGTACCTGCTCTGGTGTTCCAGAGAGGTTTGAAAAAGTATTTTTGTTTGCATTTGCTTTGATGCCATTTTTACTTAGTCTTTTTTATTTCCCATGATTTTTGTTTTCCTACAGTGTGGCTGACAAGCCTAAAAAGCAGCAGAAGAGCCAGGAAATGTGCCCCAAACTCTGCATTAGGTGTGGAACCAGTTTCAATGTCTCCTTTTGCGCCCTCAGTGTGCTAGTGCACCAGATTGACTTGGTGCACAGGTTTCTCTGTCTTAGGCCACAGGGCCTTGTGAACCTGTCTTAGGCAACTGCTGGTGGCTCAGTTGTTCCGATATCATCGGCCAGTAAAGACCGCGGTTGTGCAAAACCATTCAAGATGTGTTTGGCGAGTCTCTCCTCCCATGCCTTTTAGCATTCGTTCAAAAGCTGTTCAAAACGACGCTGGCAGCGTTAACGCTGAGATGTTGCTGGTATTCCTAGTCCCAAAAGTCATAGTATTATCAGTGATTCCCTCTTGGGCAATATTTAACGTGGAGAGGGAAGCAAATGCAGTGAGCTGTTGAAGGATTGCAATGGTGGGGATTTTGCAGAAAGGGCCAGGACTAACAATGAAACCAGCATCATTTACAGAAAGTATTCTCCATGAGGAGCCATGTCAGTGGCAACAGGCGTGAAGGATGTTAGGGAAAAAGATGGGGAGAATTAGCAGTAGTTTTAGGAAACCTGTGCTTAAAAATATTCCAGTTATTAATAGCGCTCTGATGAAGATGGAGTGTGATACACCTGCTACCTCCTGAGAATGATTTCTAACACATTCCCCATTAGCTTGGGAGTTATCCTGTCCTGCCATATCCTGGGATAAAATAAACGACATAAACGTCTTAGCTTTGTTCTTAACACCTAGGGAACATGATGTTACCTCCTTCCACGTTCACATTTTTATTTTTTAGGCTGTAGTTTGAAGTTCATTTCCTTTAGCAGCATTGCTAGTACCTGATCTGAGCTGCATGTTCCCGACCCTTTTGCAAATTTGTGCCAGTATTCCTGTTTACAAGGCCGCACAATAAACCGGACCAGTTGATCTGAGTCAAAAGAGGCTACATTGTTCTTGGTTGGTTTGACTCGGATCAGTTCCCTGCTCGGATTTACCATGCAGCCGCAGTGGCCTCACTGGCACTGCGCAGCGGCTGTCGGAGCTCCCCCGGCCACTGGAAGAAGTGCTCATGGCATTGCAGCTGGGGTCAGAAACTGTGGGGAACATTAAAGGAAAGTTACTTACGAAGGCAAATTGAAAGATTTTTAACGTAGCTGTCTTATCATGATAGTAGCTGGCAGGTTTAAAGGTAAATGGCGAGGCCTTACTGATGTTTTTAAATACAAACAGGGAGTAGGTTAACTCTGCAACATGCACCATCTAAAATTGGCCCTGAATTACTAATTTTGTCTCATTTTCCTGATATTGAGGGTAGTGGGAAATCATTTATTACGTAGGAACTTAAGTAAATTTTGAATTTAGGTTTCTATTCAGTCTGTAAGAACCATTTTCAGGGTTAGTTTTAGAGCTCATGAGCAGACTGTGTCATGTTAGCCCTGCCCTCGTTTCCCCTTTCTGCCTTTCATTGTCTCAGCTGCTTCCTCCAGAAGCTTTGCAGACCCACCTGCCCCGTGCAGCTGAATGGGACATTCTGCAGCTTCTGACTGGTCCCACGTTCCCTCTTCTTCCCATATAGGTGAAAAAAAATCCCCAAGGCAAAAGTCTTGGGACATTTTTTGAGAGGAGGAGGAGATTCATGGAGTTAAGCACAGGGGATGGGTCTATAGAGCAGATATTTTCCACAACCTGTTTGTGTCAGGATCAGGTGAGGCTGTGAAGGCAAGAGCTGATGGCGTTTGTGCAAGCGCGGGCATGTCCTGTGGAGCTGTAGGACACATCTGCATTGTCCCTTAGGGATCTGTTTGTTGCCACTGGCTAAGGCTGCTGGCATTGCTGGGAAGTGAAGGAAAAATATTCTGCTTTGTGTTAGTGAGGGCATTTGAAAGCTGAGGGATCAGACACGAGACCCCAAGGCCTAAACTTGGTCAATATGGAAAGATCTTTGGGTTACCTTGAAAATACATGATAGCTGTGCTTCTATCAGAAAACACCAGAGATGACTCACATGACTTCAGGGTCTGTCGTGTAACAAAAGCTGTTGCATATCAAGGCAGTTTAGCTTAGGAAGAACACTGAAGTGAAGGGGGTTAGAAAACCAGCTGTATGCTTGGGCAGGCATTTTCCACAGTTCTTGCTAAGTTAGGTCTTAACCATGTAAAACCAGTGTTACTAATGCACATACAAATGCTGTACACTGAAAACCATATGGAATTTGTACCCTGTTAGATGATAGCATTTTGAAAGAGAAATAAAATTAAGCATTCTTACCTAGGAGTACTGTAGAGGCTGTAAAAAAACTGGAAAGGCTGTTATATTGTAAAATGTGATTATCTGCAGCTGGTAAAACAGAGAACACCACAGGTAGTACAACACAGAAAATACACACGCATGTCTTTGAGGACACTTACATGACCATTGCTGAATGAGTGGGAGGTTGCATTGGTCTTGGTCTGTTGATTGCTTGAAATGTTTGGATTGCCCTGTTGGAACGAAGTTGTTGCACTACCCTTCTGCATAAGAGCTAAGGACCCTCACTGCTCTCACTAGTTGCCTGCCTAGCTAAAAGCTCAGTTTATTTTTATCTTATTAATTTTATTTTTTGCACATTGTTTCACTGTAAGGTCCCAGTCCCCAAAGGTGTTGAGCTCCCTGTTGCAGTCAGATCCTAAGGATTAAACTAAAGCTCAATATTTACATTTTTAGTGGGAGGGAGAGTTTTTATTCTTCTAAATGTTTCTTTTGGGTTTTCAAGCAATTCTGAAGTAAGAATAATTGATGAATGATCTCGTAGACATGTTTCTGTCTTTTTAGTTAGCCTCGTCTCTTAGCTGAATGAATTCATGCGATTTTCAATTTTGTATTAGGTCAGCGTTTGTTTGGGGAGACAATCCTAGGGCTAACACAAGGCTCTGTCTCAGACCTTCTGGCTCGCCCGAAGCCCTGGCACAAGCTGAGTTTGAAGGGACGGGAACCCTTTGTCCGCATGCAGCTGTGGCTGAACGATCCCAACAACGTGGAGAAGCTGATGGATATGAAACGAATGGAGAAAAAAGGTAACTTGGAGCAGACTGCTGACTCATGTTTTCTGTTATTTCAAAGATGACCGCGTCTTTTATAATTCTCCATAAATAGCATAGAGGCAGCATTGATCCAGTATTGTGAAGGTTATGCAAAAGGACTTCGTGACAGCTTTTTCATAGCTTTATTTGATGCTAGCTCAAGCAGATACATCTCAAAAAAAGCCAAATGAAAAACCAACCCCAAATCCTGAATATTCACCAGCTGTCGTGAAATCATTGCTATATTCTCCTATAGATTAATTACTGAGGCCCTCGTGTATCACTGATAACTTGCCTTACCAAATGAGAAATGTGAGTTTGGGAGCTGGCTTTGGGTTATTAGTTAATAGTGCTGCAGCTGGTCACAGATGTTGGGCTGGAAGAACTGTGCATTGATTCCTGAGAGAGCTTCTTGCCAGTCCTGCACTGATGGTCGCTAGGAGGAAAGAAAAATGCAGTCTTTATAAAAGGGTATTTGAGAATAATTAAATTTGTAGCCTTTATAGGGACGGAGGAAGGTGATTGTGTTAATATGTGCTTGCATAAAATGGCTAGGTCATGAGTATGTACCTGTGAGACGTCTAAGTTGTTACTGGGTATCTTAGTAGGCAGTATATCCTGAAAATTTATCCTACTCTCTATTTTTTAAATTTATTACTAAAAATAGTGGTTATTCAGAGCCTTGTTTTTAGTATGTTCATGTGATTTTACAAGAGAGACTCATAGGCTGCCATTATCAGCAGTTAACTAATTAATGATATATACATCTCTCGAGCTATCCCTTAATGATATTAGTACAGACAGCATTAATCGTCTGCACTGAAAGCGCTGCTGCTGACTGATGTCCTGAAAGCATTAACACATTTGATCAAGAACTTTGTGATTATGTTAAAAATTGCAGTGAGGGAGCTTCTGGGAAAATTGTAGCCTTGCATGCTTTTAACAAGAAATTCAAATCCTTGTCATAGTAACCAGCATAATATAATGCAGTGCAATATCTTATCGCAAATTGTGTATGATCTTCCATGGGGAGTAAAATCCACTTGGGTTGCCCACTTAAAACTGTAAACCAAAGGGAGCCATGGTAGTTTTTGCTGTATTAGAAACATGGCAGAAATAAAATTGTCAACTAGCTGGATTTTTATAGCCTCAAAGAGAATATCGCCCATAATGCAGGAAAGTAAAATAAAAATAATTTAAAAGTAGTACTGACAATATCCTTTCAAAACTATTTTCTAAACTGGATTCTTATCAAATACTGTGCAATACATATGCTCTATAGATGGCACCTGAATAGAGATAAGGCTATAAATCATTAAGACTCTGTACTGAGCTCCTGAACTGTGTAAGTGCTGTCCTCATAGCAGAGCACTCTAAAGTGAATTGAAGCCTGTATTTTCTGCAAAATCCTTTCATGCAGGTAAGGATCCTGTGACTTAACCTTTTAAATTGCTCTAGAGCCACATTAAGAATTTAACTTTCCCTTCAGCTAATGTCAGTTAAAGAACAATGCAACTGTATCTGCTACCAGTGAAACATTATTATCAATTATTTCTCTGCCACATTTTATTAAGGGAGTAAATTAATAATTATGATAAAGGTGAGCTGCATATATCTTTTTTTCTGTGCTGCCAGTCTGAAGTTTCTGCTATAAATGTCCATTTTAAGAGGTTCTGAAAATTTGCAATGTACATTAACTAGCCTCTTTGGAGGAAGCTGGCGGTTCACGCTCACTAGACTGAGACACCCTGCACCACCTTTCCTGCCTTGGAAGAGTTCATTCCTCTCTCTTATAACCTCCCGGTGTTTATGCTGCTGGTAACGTCACACTCCTCACTGAACAGTACTGAAGCCTGCTGTCAGGAGAAAATTTAATTCCCTTTATTTCCCCATTATTTCGCTTTTTAATAATCTTGTTCAATACCGCATAAGATAAAAATTATATTAAAAGGGGCTCTGTTTTACCTCAGTGGGCAGCCGCTAGCTCTGCAATAGCGTCTGCTACGTCTAGAGCTGAGCACATGCTGGGGAGTCATCCCAGAGGGACACGGTGGTGTTGGGTTGGCAACAGAAGGGGAAAAAAAGGTAATAAAACTCGGGGGATAGGGCTGGCCTTGACAAGTTGGTCTCAGACCCAGATCCAGACCTTTGTCCAAATTACATTTGGGTTTGGTTGGGGTTTTTTTCCATAGGTCTCTTGAGAAGTAGAGACTGATCAGACAAAAATCTAACTTGTCCAAAAATGAAGTGTGTTTGCGACTTGGATTCCAGTTTGAGCCTTGCTGTCACTACATATGTGCTGAATGATCTCCTTATGTTGTCTACACGCAGCACATATGTTTAAAATAAGAATTAAAAAGGAAAAGCTTTTATAAACGTCATCTAAAGTTTCCAGAGAGCACCATTAAAGCCTAAAGCTTAGGTGCTAGTTCAGCTCATGGCAAAGTGCCAGGATTGTGCCTTTGGCCCAATGGAAACTTGTTCTGATAATCTGTTATCCTGCAGAAAAACAATCGGTTATGGCAGACCAATGGGACATCGTCTTTATTTTTCTGTTAAGGGAAATATGTACATTAATATAATTCGTTCCATTCACATGAGAGAGACCCAAATAAGCCGTTGCACCTTTTGTGATCCCAGCATGAGGGTACAAAAGCAGAAGTAGGCATTAGGGCATGAAATTTTTCCCAAGCTATCACAGCTCCACGCTGTCCTTGGGAGTCTAAAGATGGGAGCTCTGACCTGCCAGAAGTGCCATCCTATGGGGAGCAGAGATTCAGAGCATCCTGATGCTCTGAGTGTCTCATGTTAACTCAGTTGCCTGACCGAATTCCACATGCTCCAGTTAGAGATAGCCTAAACACCTTTTACATCTTCCACGCAAGGTTCTGTTTTGTCTCATGGCCTCCTTTAAGCTGCTGCACGTTGCTGAAGTGATAGATGCTGTCTTTCTGCCCTCTTGGTTGTGCTATCAGAGGAGACAAGAGAACCTTGTATATCGTTTGCATGTCAATGCAAGTTTGAAATAACACCTGGGAGTCTTTGAGATTAAAGACCTTATATAAATGTGAGATTATATTGCTGGAATGATTAATTCCATGGTTGAAGGTTGTAAAGGTTCCTTGAAGGGTGCAAAAATAAGGCCAATAGATCACCTTGAAATAATGCGTTTACCTGTGGTCACTTTGCAGTTCTACATCTGGTTGGAACAACTTAAATAGGTGATTTTTAAAATGAAGTTTATTTAAGAAAAAAAACAACAAAACCAAACTTTGCTTTTTATGGTTATTTCAAACACGTGCAGGACTATGTATCATGGCAGAGTGATGGATCATGAGCAACTCATGTTCTGTTCCATATCAGTGATCTTACAGAGTAGGCAATCCACAGGTAATCTGTCATATTCAGAAAAAACAAAATGAGGACCACGCAGATACCCCCAAAGGTGACAGAGCGTGTTCAAAATTCACTTCGATGGTAGTAAGACACAGTGTAAAAGGGCCCCACTGGACATACCACCGTGTAGAGGACAGGATGCTGAAACCCACTTGAGACAGAAAACCTAGCTGGTCCTGTGGGGAGCTCTGCCGGAAGAAGTTGGCTTGTGTGAGAAGGGCTTTCAACAGTTCAGTTTATTCGATTGCATTGAATTTTTATTTGTTGTGCACCCTCAGCCTAAAGGCAGAGCTGTGGGGAGAGAGACATTTATTTTTTGAAGAATTTGCTTGCTGACTGGTGTGACGTGCCCCACATTGGTCCCTGGCTCCGATCGAAGCTCCTGGCGGTTGGAGATTTAGTGCCTGCTGGATTGATGTCAGGCTGGTGTAATCTGGAACTTAATAGCCGAGGTTATCAAATTGCAGCTCTTGAATACCTAAACTCTTAAATATCTAGAAGGTATTTAACAGGCCATTAAATATTTTATTGACAAGATTCATCTATATTTGCCATTTTCAGCCCCCTCATTAGCAATGCTCATGCATAATACTGCCAGGTGCAGTAAATCCCACCTCTCTTTGCCCGGTGTAAATCAATCAAGTCAGTGACAGCGTTTACTGGGACTCTTTCCGTGCAGAATTTGCCGGGATAATTCAGTCCCCGTCAGGGAGGGGAGTTAGCAGTGGTATCACAGGCTTCTGCCATCAGCTTCACCGAGCTCCATCAGTGCAGCAAGAGCTTTCTTAAAAGTATATGCATTTTTGAAAGAGCCTTGCGTAGGGGAGGAGGATTGCTGTGAGCTGTTTTTCTTTCATAACCTGTCATCGCTGTAGCAAAGATCTGTAGGAGAAAGCAGCAAATGCCTGACGGGTTATTCAGCCCATCACTGGGATCTCCAGGCTCCAGGCGCCATCGTGTGTTGGAGACTGTGGCTGCCTTCAGCTTCCATAGTCATATTTTTAATTCAGAGACCTTAGTGTACACCCGGAGTGTTTAACAACCAAAACCATTTAAGTTGAAATGAAGTGCAACTGTCCTAATCAGGTGCTTATGTGGAAGTTCGCCACTCTTGAAAGAGTGCATCTGAAATAAGTCATGTTAACTGAACCCTGTTATTCATGTCCCACATTCATTGAAAAAGCGGAAAACTCTGGCAGGTTTCCAGTCGATTTACCCTCTTTTCTTCCCTTTCTTCTTTTTCTGCCTCTTGCATCCTCCCCACATTTGCTTTCCTCTGATCTCTGGTGATGCCTCTTCCTTTCTGTTCTCTCCAAATAGCCCATCCATGCATCTACAACCTGTCATCTTCGCATTTATTCCACAGCTCATATGTTCATTGATTTTGCATTTGTATTCAGCCGGGGCTGATCCAATGCACTTCTCTTTCAGCCTACATGAAGCGGCGACACAGCTCTGTTAGCGACAGTCAGTCTTGTGAGTCCTCATCCGCTGGAATAGACTACAGCCAGGGAGCCAGCCCGCAGCCGCAGCACCAGCTGAAGAAGCCCCGGGTGGTGCTGGCACCAGAAGAAAAGGAAGCTCTGAAACGAGCCTACCAGCAAAAGCCATACCCATCACCAAAAACCATTGAGGAACTCGCTACGCAGCTCAACTTGAAAACCAGCACCGTGATCAACTGGTTCCACAATTACAGGTATGAGCTCTCCTGGGAGCCCTACTCATAAAGGATTTATTTTATTTGCTTTGGCAGGGTGCTACTCTGCTTCAGCAGACTGTGTCTGCTTCCGCTAGCGTTGAGCAGTTGCACAGAACGAACAGTTTCGACATCAGGGAGGTTCTGACTAACAGTAATGCTAATGCTCCTGACTAATTTTAAGTCATCCCTGAGGAACAGCAATATTCACATATTGATGTAAGCTGTGCTTTTAAATAGAAAGTCTTGCTTTTGGGGTGGGCATGGATTTAGAGATGTCCACTACTGAATATTTATAAATCCCATTGCAGTAAGCAAGACTGGTCTTTCTTACTTGCATACGCACACTCATGCAGACATATACTCGCATGTTATATACACAGATATAAGTGTGTGTTATGCCTGCGTCACTTGGTGGGGGTGCTTGGAAGTGTCCTCTGCTGGATGGCATCAGAATTGCACTGCTTTCATCGTATAATTTTCCCACGTAAGAACAAAATAAGATTTTCTTTTATGTCTTGAATCACTGAGCTCTGAAAATAGGCACAGTATGTGCTGTATTTCTGGGAAGCTCCGCACAGTCATGAAGCACAGAGAACTGATAACCCTGAAGTCAGATGTGGCCACAGATTTATTTCATTGTTACGATTAAATCAGTGAGTCCCGATGAAATGAAATAAGATGTTGGTCTGTTTAGTTCCTTTCTCATATTAGAGGGAACCTTCTCCACATTTGAACCATTGGAGTAGTTTTTGGCCTAGAGACACCAATAAAAAGAAACATGCTGGAATAGCATATAAGAATTACAAGGATTTGAATAAACCTATTATCAACTGTGCTTGGGATAGGGAATCTTAATTAGTGCAGCAGACTTTTCTCCAAGAAATTTGTGCTAATGAATATTGAACAGGTACAGTTAAGATACCAGATTTAATACTATTCTGCTCCTTCACTCGGAGCCAGTAGTGTTCCTAATTAGTCCAAATTGCTAAACTTGTTTGGTTTTAGAGGCTGCTAACATTTAAAGGGTATTTTCCACTTTGGCCCTTCTCAGCTTTTAACAGGGAAGTTGCTGAAGCAGAAGCAGCACGGTTTAATGAGATATCTCAGAAATATTGTGCACAATAGTTAAATAATGTTTACAGTAAACAAGATAAAATTTAAAAATTATAACCAACGAGTAATCATATTTACACTGAATTTCATTGACTTGAATCCACTACAGATGCAGCCTCTTTCACTGCTCAGAGTTCTCCAAATGCAGGCGCCTCTTCCAATTCCCACTTCTAGGCAATTATACACAAGTTGGAGGATTGCCTATGAAAATATGTTCCCTTCGGCCTGACAGCAAAATGTGCTGTTCTCACTTAGGCAGACGAGTGCGGGAGCACTGGTGGCATGTGTCATCTTCCTCATTATCATGAGATCGCCTGTTTAGGCGTGTTGCAAGAAAGTATGACAAGTCATGATTGATCAGCATGTTTAGCCACACCAAGCTATACATTAATGTGAACTAGGTGCTGACAGTTGTATACAAAATAAAAAACGTATAAACAAGGTGCTGTAGGCTGGTGGGTAGCACGAGCCTCACAGCACTGAGTGATCCAGACCGGTTCCCAGATGTGCTGCTGAGTCTCCAGGACTTTAAAGAGATGTCTCAAGCCTGTTTGGAGCCCTGAGTGCTCTGAGTGGTTGCCACCACTGAAAAATCAAACCACATGCCTGTTCTTTTCCTCTGTACAATAATTTTCTTAGCTTTCATTCATGAAGTACTCTTAAATGATTTGCAGGACATTGCAGAAGTGGTAAAAGTTACATGTTCTGTTAGGTGAACAGGGTCTGACTGTTCGGCAGCTCATGTGTTACAGGAAATGGGTAGTCTTTCCCCTCTTCATCTTCTCCAGGCCACACTTAACTGTATCTCTTTTATACTCTCTCTCAGCCGTTTCTTTTCCAAAATGAAGAGTCTTCATAGTGAAGCAGTTCCACATCTCAGACTATCTGGTTATTCTTTAATATAATTTTTTCTTTAAAGTAACTTCAGGTAAGGCAGGGTACAGATTTGGACACGTTTGTCTGCCTCTCTCTTGGGAATCCTGTTGCAGTGATGCTTTTCCTTTGGGACTCAGCCCAAACCTTGCTTTCCAAAGGTGCTTGCTGCAGCAGAATATACCTTTATATCCACCAGATGGGAAGGCAGCACTAGCATTTTTTTTCTGCAGCAAAAGAGACTAAAAAAAAACAAAAAACAAACCCTCAGCAGACAAAGAAATAATTGACTTCAGAATATAAATAGGTATAAAGGATTTTGACATGTCTGCAAACTTCTCCAAGTCTATGGCTTTGTATCCATACCATTCGCATAGCTCTCAGAACATAAAAATAAATATACCTTAACTTTGTGTTAGTGAAGCACATACAGGACGCATCAGTTTGAGGCTCTGTTGTCTTAAGAATGGTGCAAAAGAGTAGGAGGTAGGGATTTCTATCCCACCCACGTGTGGAAACTGAACATAAACTCACTAAGGTCGCAGAGATGATACTACAGAAGCATCAGGAATTCAACCAAACTTTCTTGGATTGTAGTCTAAGTGCTCTTGGATCCTAAATTTCATTGCTCTTACTCCGGGCATTTTTTAAAATGAACTGTAGCATTGTGCTCGTTTAGATGATATGTGAAGGCTTGTACAGGGAACTTCAACGTATATCCCAGGAGATGTCTGATATTTTGAGTTACACTGATGAATGCCAACAGGATGTGTTGATGTCGAGGCCAGCACCTTCCACCGAGAGGAATGCTCTCTGGAATTTCCTAGCTGCTGTCACCAGTTCTTCTTCACCATAGGGATTTAATTACTATGTTAATCAGGAGCCAAACTAGATTCCAGAAGCAAAATATTGGGTGTGAATTCCAGGGATTTCCGCAGACATCGAACCTGTATTCTGTGGTCAGATACTCAGTGAGCATGTCATCATTCGGTGTCTTGCTGGAGCCGAGGTATTTTAAATGCCATGCAGACACAGAGCTCTTACCCGTTTCCTCTCCTGGGTTGGGGAATGTTACAGACGCAGCATGTTCTGGATCAATGTCCATGCAGGGAGATGATAGGCATAAATAGAGCCTGATAATCAATGTTGCAGGATGCATGCAATTAATGGTAATAGAAAATTAATGTTAGCACCTGTGGTCTTCTGTTAGGTGAGTAATATTCTCCTAGGGAAAATTACAGACCCCCCTAAATCCTTCAAAAGTGTAGAGTCAGCAAGTACTGCTGAAATACTCTGTTGCATTTCAAGTCAGTCAATAATATCATTAGCTTCAAAAGCAGTATTGAGATGCTGTTCTGCATTCATCCTCTTTTTTTTTTTTTTTTTTTTTTCATTTTGTGCTGTCTTCTGTAGAACATTTAGGGAAAAATGAAAAAATCATACAGCCATCAGCATTGGGACAGCACTTCACTTGTGATTTGCAAGACCCTTAGCAGTTCTCCCTGGCTAAAACCAAAAGTGTTATCTTCACTCTGAAAGATCAAGTTTTGCGACACTCTCCCTGTGTCTGTAGTCTCATCCCTGACCCCTCTTGTTTGCAAATTAGGACCTGAACAGTGGTCGTAACCTCTCCTACTGACAGAGAAAGAATTAGCGTAGTCCCTAAGATTTTTTCATAAACTGCTCTGTACTTGTGAGGATATTGGGAGCTCCTAAACAGAGAAGGAAGAGGGAAGAAGGACCAAGTTAAATGGCAAAGGTAGTGCGTTTGGGGTATTATTGCACACTTCAAGTAATAGGAGGCGCAAGGTGGTACACCAGGCAATTTTAACCACACGTGGAGTGAATTAATTCCCCTGAAATGCACTGCTTACCTTGTCACTAGTCATGTTCTGAAATCGATTTTTTTAAACAAAAAATGAGGCAGAAGTCAGACTAGCTCATAGACTGACAACCTGTCAAAAGGCTGTGCTTCCCCAGAGTGGTTTCAGAACAACGGATTTTGTTTCATCTTCGTTTCTCCTTGGTATCCAGGAGAACAGCAAGAGGATTGTCCAGATTTTTTCCTTGTTTGTTTTTTGTTTAAGCAAATTGTGGCTCGTTTCTAGTAGAAATCTGAATTGTTTTGTATTTGCAAGCCATTTTCTTCTGGATCTGCTGGAAATGTATTCATATTTTTAAAATCATCCGTTTTCTTGTCCAGTGTATTGTGAAGTTTTACCTTCCTGAATATCAGACTTTTAGTGGGAATGGGAGACTGTAGAGCCTTTCATCTCTGTCCCTTAAACCACATCCAGTGCTGTAAAAATTGAGCATACATTTATGAACGTTATTTAATTTAAACTTGAAAAAAAAGTGAAGATGATCTGTCATTGGCTTTCACCAATCATTTTAGTACAAATTGATTACCTGCATAAAGTTTATATTTTTGCTTTATTTTCTAATGCCTGCTGAGGTTACTATAACATCAGCTTTACAACAAATACACAAAATCCTGGTTGGAGTCAGAGGGGTCAGTCTCAACACTGACTGCTCTAGAAGTTACCAGAAATGGCTTATTTGCTTAAAAGTCTGCCCTCCCGCCATGCTGTGGAGGAGCCCCCGGGCTGTCTGGGGTTTGCAGCCTGCACCCTCCTAGCACAGCAGGCTTCGCAGTGGCCAGGGAAAATAAAATTAAGAGCATCTTAACAATATTTCATGTTCTTCCAAACACCTTTTCAGTCAGTCCTTTGGGTTCGAGGGTATGAGCGTTTCCACTGACCCAGCTTGGTGAGGCTGTCCTGCAGCCGAGACAAAATGGCATCTTGTGGAAGGGCATTTTGAATGGTGGCTCTGGTAGAGCACTGTGGCTCTGAGTGACCCCCAGGAGACTCACCATCCCTCTCCCCTGTCTTTTAGGTCTCGCATCCGCCGGGAGCTGTTCATCGAGGAGATCCAAGCCGGGAGCCAAAGCCAGGCTGGGTCGAGCGACTCTCCTTCCGCCAGAAGCAGCAGGGCCGCTCACAGCTCCGAGGGAGACAGCTGCGATGGCGTGGACGCAGAAGGCCCACCTGAAGGAAAGCCAAGTGGCCCGGAGGCGGATGAGTACAGCAATGCAACCACAAAGTCTCAGGGAGGGTCAGCAGAGTCGGCTTTCGAAGCGGGGGAAGAGGCACTGCAGGGCGCCAGGTCTTCGGAGAAAGCGGAGCCGTTCCAGGCGGAGAGCCTGGAGGACACCGACGACGAGGGCAGGCTCAGAGCACCGCGCCAGAGCTCTCCGCCGGCATCGCAGCGCCCGGGAGAAGCTCTCGAGACACTGCCAAACTCTGCCACGGAAGGGGATGCCTCTACCTCAGCTGCCTCCACCTCAGTCCTTACAGGGGAGAGCTCCTACAAGTCAAAAGAAAGTTCAGAGAAAATCTCCAGTGTGCCAAGTACGAGCTCGACGCCGGCCACAGGCTCGCAGAAAGCCAACTCTCTTCAGAGCTTGTTCGGCTTCTCCGAGGCGGCGAGCTCCAGGAACACGCGAGACAGCTCCTTGAGGAAAAAGAAAGCGGCAAACTTGAACAACATCATCCACCGCTTGGAGAAGGCTGCGAGTCGAGAAGAGGCCGTCGAGTGGGAGTTTTGAGATTAAACTCGCCCAACTCTGGAGAGCTGGGAAGTGAAACTGGACCTCTACTGGTTTTATTGTGTTGCGCACTTAACCGCCCTGCGGGCCACAGGGCAAAAACGCCATAGGCCAAGGTGCATATAGAAAACAAAAAGGAGCGTTAAGCCCAATTTATGTTTGTGTTTTCGAGGAAGAAAACTGAAATGTGTAGTCAAGCTTTTTTGTACCCTGAAGTGTTTTTATTATTGCCCTAAGTGATTTCCACAATTTCTGGAATAACTCATACAGCTTTGCCTTGTGCCCTCCTCTTTGGTGTGGGCTTTAAAAAAAGAAAAACAGAAAAAAAAAAAATCAAACCCACATATTAAAAGGGGGCTTTTTATCTGCCATCTAATGGCTACAGAGCGATAATACACTATTATCTTCTTAAACCAGGAAAAAAGGGGAGATTTTTCAAAAAAAAAAAGAAAAAAAAAAGAAAGTTTTTTGTAGCTGTTCAGTTGCCACTAAGAGATTGCACAGTCAACCGACTCTAAACACACTAGTTTGGATTCCTACATATTTTCAAGAAAAGAAAAGAATCTTGTTGTTTGAAACTTTGAATTAAAAAAAAAAACACATTTACTCCACATATTTTTTAACAAAACAAAAAAAAAGTCACATCAGGAAAATATCTTAATTTGTGGTAGCTGACTTAGTGTTTTCTTGTAAGTGAAATAGAATATTGACACGTAGTGCACATTGTTTCATAGCTTTAACTGATTCTGGTCTTTTGCAGACCAGAATTTGTTTAATACACTCCATTTTAGGCCAAATCAGGACAAAAAAAAAATCTGAATCTAGGTATTTTATAATCTGCTTTTTAACCTCTAACCACAGAGCACGCTGATCAGACCTCATATCTAGGAGGTTTAGGAGACAACTTAGAAACAGCATGTACTTGATCATTTCACTTGGTTTGTAGTGTACAGAATTTCCTTTCAGTAAAGACAGATCGCTCAAAAAACGTTGGCCAGTAACATTTCAGCCTGCTACTTCGGGGACGTATTCCATAACCCGAAATATTCAGCTTACCTGGAATCGATTAAAGCGTAGTTCACGTGTACGATTGCTGTCACACACCACTAAGAGGGGACTGGAGCTGCCTCAGATAAAGAACTTTTCCTGCTGTTGGTGGCCATTTACTGACTCTCTTCCCACCACAAGCACTGATTTTAAATATGTTTTAGTTGTGGGAAGCTTATTTTTGCGTGGAAAAAAAGAGTACGTGGCAACGACCAGACGGGCTCTTACCGGGACGGAAATAGCCCAAACTCCAAACCAAAACATCCGTGCTCTCGAGTCCCAGTCTAGACCATTCTGCCCTGCAGAAATACAGCCTTTGTCCATTTATTTTATGCACAGGTTAGGGCTGATCAAAGTACAAATCAAATTCTAACTTGTCTCTAACTCCTCCTGTTGTCTATATGTATATGCGTGAGCATAGAGGTGTGTGGAAGGATGTGTGTGCGTGAGTGTGTGCGTGCAATTTTATACGTCTGTGTATTTTCTTACGTACTTGTGCACACATAGAGTGCATTACTGCCACCTTTTTTCAATAAGCTGTTTTATCAGTTATGGCTTCTACAAGTTTGCTAATTTAGACTCCTTTATTGCCATATCTTTAAAACTAACAATAGATGATTTCGGAATATATATATATATATAAATATAT